TCGAAGGCGTAGCAGACACTAAAAATGATGAGAGGAATAAACATGTTGAATTATAAAACCCACAAAGATAAACGGCACTTCGATGCGAAATATTAAGTTGATACCGCGAATGCCTTGATGGTTTGATTTGAGTTGTCCAGAAGTAAACCCTAATTCCAGAAACAGTTCACAGCTGAACGGTAAAGGGGTTTCATGACTTTTATGCGATAATTTTCTGGAAACTCCAAAGACGCCAAACGGTATTTGTTTTGTAAAAGTGAGACCAGAAAAAAAAATACAGATGCTATCGGAAGTGTGATTTTTTACGGACAAATTTAGTCCCAGATAACACGTACCGAAGCGGTAAGCTTACAGAGGCAAGAGGCAAAGCAAAGCATAGTTTTCGTTTCCTCAGTTTATTCAGATTTAAGACTTAAAAAATGAATTATTTTCGCCGAGTTTTACTTCAATTAGCTTGAAATGAGCGAAACCAGCAATGTGCTTTCTGCGCAACTATTTTAAAGTTCTCATTTTGCCACGATGGGGAAAATTGCATTGCCCACATACCGAAATACTTACTAGTGACTTGACGAGCTTAAATCCTGTATAATGCAAAACAGCCCACTATAAGAGCGAAAGTTGACTCACTCTTTCCGTGTGCGGCCATAACATCCACCTGGTCCGACACTTCGGTTTGTTTTTCCAATAGTAAATTTTGAGTTTTGAGTTTCCTACTTTAATTTTTTTTTTCAGCGAAAAATAAATACCTACCCAGTACTCACGGGTCCTTAGAGGGAGAAAAATTTTTGTTCTCACATGAAACTGAGTTTTGGTCGCCGAGGCTCGGTGAATGTGAACTCGAGGGACTGATTGACCTGGAGAAGAACGCCAAAGAGTGGAACAGAGAGGGGAAGCTGAAATTTTCCGTGAAACATAGGGACTGGAAGACAAAAATATCCGCTCATGCCAGCAATTCCTTCCCCGTCGATCGTACAGCTGAAGAACTGAAGTGGAAGCACATGCTGTGAGTTTATTAGTCACCATATGTCTTATACTTAATTGGGGAGGGCGAGATTGCCAAAAGCAAGACGAGCGACCAGGACCTGATATATTTTGTTGAATCGGCAGAAATAAGACAAAAGCGAGAGGAAATTCACCCATTATGTTCTTTTCGGGCTAGGGGGGAGTTACAGTGCATGAACGATCTCAAGAAATGTTGGCCAAAATTCTGGAATGCGTTCCCGACTGGGAAGGATTACTTAAGTGGGGTTGTTATACTGATAATCATGCAGAATAACCCTATAACATTTCGGACTCGCCAGGATGTCGGCTTTTGAATGCACTTCTTTTTGACCTCGTACAGAGACCACACTCGGTAAAAAATGACTACTTAGGGAGTTTGCACTTTTTCTATTGATTTTTGATAGTCTTATAAACGCAAATATATTTTATAGAAAACGTGCATTAAAAATATGTTTCCTTTTACTCATTTGGTAGAAAATCACATTGCCTTCATATTTTACGCTCGAAGAAACCGAGCATTTAGATTTTTAAAAAATTTCCCAATTTCCGAGTAATTTTCAGCCGGATCTGACATTGCATCAGCGTTTAGCAATTTCAGTCTAAAAGGTGCATGCTTTCTGCGTAAGGAAAATCAAATATTCCCAATGCCTTTAAGAAGATATCACATATAGTTCATGAAATTTTGCAATGGACCCGGACTGTGTTGTATATTTAATGAGGAACATTAGTAAACGGACATGTGAAGTCTTGCATGTATGAACATAGCATAGTCTTAAGAATCTCATAACTAGAAACTTTTTTAAAACTTAAATGCACGCTTTTTTCGGACATAAAATATGAAGGCAATGTGATTTCCTACCAAATGAGCAAACGACAGCATATTTTTATTCACGGTTTTTATAAAATATGTTTGCGTTTATAAGACTATCGAAAAACAATAGGAAAAGTGAATACTACCTAAGTAGTCATTTTTTACCGAGTGTGGTTTCTGCACGAGGTCAAAAAGAAGTGCATTCAAAAGCCGACATCCTGGCAAGTCCGAAATGTTATAGGGTTATGCTGCATGATAATCAGCATAACCACCTCACTTAAGAAATCCTTCCTAATCGGGAACGCATTCTAGAATTTTGGCTAACATTTCAGGAGATCGGTCACGCACTGTAAAAGACTAACAATCTAGCTTTCTTCTCTTTTTCTGTTTCTATTAACAGTACTGCAGTAAATGACCCGTCCTATTAAATGTTAACCAAAATTCTGAGATGTGTTTCCGAGTAGAAAGGACCATTTAAGTGGGGTAGTAGAATGGGTTGTCGTGCAGCATGAAATGTCAGTCAGGCGAGACTGTCGGATCTTAATTGCGCCTCTTACCGGCTGCTTACGAAAACATACTCCACAAAAAGTGCCCACTTAAGTAGTGCATATTGCGCAGTTGATTTTTGGTACACTTATAAATAGACCGTGTTTTATGGAGAGTGTGCACAAAAATGTCCTTTTAAATCCGACCACTGGAGTTACGTTAAGGGCTTCCAAACAGCACGCAGTATATCTTCCATGAAAGAAAAATCACAAAATTTCCGCATGCCACTACGACGATACCATGAAGTGCTCAAGAAATTTTGCACTGACCATATACCATGTTGTATACTTCACAAGAAGCCTTAATAAATGGACAGATACGATGCTATTTGAACGGATATTTCACGGTTCTTACAAATCTTCTTATTAGAAATTTTTTTAAAACCGAAAGTCACACTTTGCTTAATTAACAACTTTTAAACAGACGGAACTTACTACGAAATGAATTCAAGCGAGAATGTTTCTATGTATGCTCCTCGTAAAATCTGTTTTAATTTACAAGGGCCTCAAAAAGAAGTGAGAAAATGCATACCACTTAAGTAGCCACTTTTGCCGGATGTGATTTCTGCCGATGGCCGGAAAGAGGCGCATTTAAAATACGGCAGCCTGGAGTTGATGCAGTCATTTTATAACTCTGCATTCATACTTTCGGCAAGGATATGGTATGCAACCCCCACGGGGAGACCGTAGTTAGCTACAAACCTGACGCCAGCAATGGTCATGCCCTCAGTAAGAGATATCTAACCTCTAAGCATTTAAAGAATAGTTGGACGTTACCGTAGGCAAAGTTAAACCATATCCCAAACCCGGAAACCCTATTTCCAGGGGTGACCCAACTAACACCAATTTTAACCGTCGTCCAAACCCTCACCTTGAGCCCAAAACGGACAACTTTAATATCGGCAACGTTATTGGAGGTCAACATCTGCTTCCTGCATAATCCCTTTCGCGACCTACCGCTAGACAAATCGCTGTGAAACACACCAACCAAGCAGGCGGTTACATACTCCACCCTTACCGTACTTTCCAATCAGTTTACAAATAAATGACTAATGCCAGCTCAAGGTCTTGAGAAATAGATGCCACCCCACCAGGTATAACGCTTACTGGAGGTACCACGTCCTCAAGCCTTAGAAGAACAGGGTTGTACATTAACTCGACTACGTTATAACAGCTCTTTCAACGGCTTTCTTGTACATTTCAGCGCCGCAAAGTACGAACAAACGGGAATGGAAAGGTAGGTGTTCTTATGCACACCAAATAAATTTTTAATCGAACATGCCAGGCATAAAGCCGTTCTTTTAAAATTGTAGTAGGGTAGGCTAAGTACATATTATACAAGAGGACTATCCACGAATGTCAAAATTCATAGATATTGTGGCAGATTTTGAATACTTCATATTGAGTTGCGAAAATTCCCATAGCAGTAATCAGAAGACGTGGTAGCTTTCGATAAATTCTCATCGGGCCAGTACAGTGATATAGGAACGGGGTAGAAGTAAAACATGTCAGCGATAAGAGAAATCGATAAAAGTTCTCCTTAAAACACAGTCGGGGTGCGGGACTGTGGGGGAGGGGGGGCGGGGTAAAAGCAGTCGATGTCAGGGGCGGGGTGAGAGCGGGAGGGCGCGGAGAGTTGCACCGTTAGCCAACCTTCGACCGCTGTAGGCACGAAGCCTGAACGTGCTTCTTCTGTGCGCACAAGATTGGCTTTCGTAACCTAATGGCGGCCGCTTCCGCTGTCGTTAACAGGCGCTGGCCTAGTAGCTTAGGGCAGCCCGAGGGGACCTTATAAATCACACGAGAAGCTTCGTTGGGGTCCACGCGATGTCCGGAATCAACAACATGCGCGAGAATGACGCTGCTTATGCTCCTCGTTTCGCCTTCTCCCAGCCATGCCGGGAGGTGTTCCTGTATTCTCTTGGATAAGCGCCGACTCGTGCGACCAATATAACCTGCTCCACAGGAGCAAGTGAAGGAATAGATGCACATTGAGGTGGTCTGCGGTGGCAACTTATCCTTACCTTCGCGTAAAGTAGGGTTAGTAGAGAAGGATACCTAAACTCTTGCCGCAGGAAAGGTTCTCGAGACAGCTTGATCAAGGCGTCTCCTTAGGAGTTCACTCGCCGCGTCCCCTTGGAAAGGGACTTTGAGGAACAAAGTCTTCTTTTCGGCGGTCGGTATGGTGGGCTTGATCGGTCGTTCGGCAATGTCCTTTGCGATAAACCTGTCACTATACCCGTTTTCTCGACGGAAGTCTTGGATTTTTCTGAGCTCCTCCTCGATGCTATCTGTTGAGCAAATTTTTCTAGCTCTTTATACCAAACATGAGACTAGATTTCGCTTTTTTGGAGCGGTACGAAAGTGGCGAAGTTCGTGTATTGTCCAGACCCAAATGTGAAAAACTCGGCGCTTCGGTGGGAATCGAACCCACGCAGTAAGGGGAAGGCTTTAGTACACCCAACGCTCTAACCACTTGAGCTACGAGGCCCCAAATGTGATTAAACTGGCGTCGTCCGGCGGGGCCTCGTAGCTCAGGTGGATAGAGCGTTGGCTGTACTAAAGCCTTCCCCTTACTGCGTGGATTCGAATCCCACCGAGGCGCCGAGTTAATCTCAGTTGGGTCAATATGAATGTCAAAATTATTGCAAGAGCGACGAACGGGGATTCAGTGGAACAGCCAGAGATGTTTGACCCGTGCAGAGCCCCAGCATCAGAGACGATGAGGGAGCAGTAACAGCAGCAGCAGCAGCAGCAGCAGCAGCAGCAGCAGCAGCAGCAGCAGCAGCAGCAGCAGCAGCAGCAGCAGCAGCAGCAGCAGCAGCAGCAGCAGCAGCAGCAGCAGCAGCAGCAGCAGCAGCAGCAGCAGCAGCAGCAGCAGCAGCAGCAGCAGCAGCAAGTGAATAGTTTTGTGGCTAAGCGACAAGGGAGGGGGGAGGTAAGGAGGAGAGTTAGCGCCCGTGGCTGGTCCGAGGTCGCGCCGACCAACCCGGCGTGGTCTAACTGTGTGGTAACAGTGTGTGTGTGTGTCCTTGGCCGGGAAGTTGGCCGCGTCACCTGGCTGCGCGGGCGTAGCGCGGGACAGCTCGGGGTATATCAACGTGTCTGCTGATGGATCTGGTGTCACAGGTGTCCAGCCCTCCCCACGCCGTTTTGTTGTTGGCTCGCGAAGTCCACCTTGAGGTCTTCCTCCAGCATATGAGTAGCGACTTGATACATTGGGTCATCTTTCCAGGCGGCCCTTTTGTGCTCGAATATTTGCGTGCCGACTCATCGTCCTGTCTGGCCTGTATAACTGCGGGGACAGTCATAGCATAGGATTTGATAAGCTACGTCCGACTCCTCACCTGCGCTCAGCTGATCCTTCACCTACATGTTTCTGGTACGCACAGTAGCCGCCGGACGATAGGGTGATGCTCATGCCAAACACTGCGGCGATACATTCCGCTACTTCGGACACATTCCTTTCTGTGGTTGAAGGTGCCACAGGGCTCATGGCTCTCTCCCGTCCGTACTTCATGGGCGCATAGGGGGTAGCGGCTGTGGCAGTTGTTTGAGAGTAGCCGTTCCTTACTAACTGGTTCGGAAGATGCCCTACTTCCCATACTCCTCGCTCCGATCTGGTGGAGTTTGTTTTTACCCCTTCAAAGAGCGCTCCCACACAACGGCGTTTGTGCAGCGCCAGATGGCTGCTTTGACAGCTGAGGGTCAGGTTTTCTTCAGCCACCTTTCCATCCGGCTTGACGATTGTTATTGTATTCTGACGAATTCCTTTACGAGTCTGCAAGCTCACTCTATCATTTTCCCTCTAACAAGGACCCGGAACTCGTTTTCTCACCCCCATCTATCAAAAGTATTCGTCAAGTAAAAAGGAGAATAATGAAGTCGTTTTGACATTGATATTGGCTAAGACGCCGCCATCCTTCACCATGTCTAAGCACGGCTTGTCTGACATCTTTATTTGAAGCAAGTGTACACTTTGAAGGAGATAAACTCACCTCATCTTTTTTTCCCTGTCGTAGTCTCGTATTTAGCGCTGGTTCAAAGATAAAGCTCGAACGGAAGTCGAACCTGTTGCAGTCGAGACAACGGTTAAATTCGACACTTTGGCTGGAGAGCACAATTCTGCCATTACCTGCATTTAGAACAGAGTTCATCTACGAAAATGACCAGCGTTGGAGCATGGACAAATTTGTAAGGACGGAAGCTACCCTGAATATTATAGCTCCTGCCGCGGTGAGTACGACCGATCTGCTTGCAAGCCCTACTTTTAGAACTCTTTCGGTCAAATTCAAACAGTTTTATCTTTTTAAGCACGACTCCTAAACATTTGCTGACATAATAAACTTAATCTAACATTCTGAAGAGGCATAACTGTATTCGCAGTACCAATTGTAAGCAAAAACGTTAGAACTGTTCAGCGAAATTGTCTTGGTTGCAATACGCAACGAAGAGGGATACCCTTGGAAACCAAATGCTGGACCGAGGCAGCGGAGTTACGCCATGAGGATGAAAGTAGAAACTATTCAGTTGGAGAAAAGGACATGGTTAGAGTATGTAGAGTTAGTCCGGCTCTTGGAACCTGATACTCGTCCAGTAATACTTGTTGGTTTTGGTTAGGGAAGTGGCATGGCCAAAGCACACCTCGCATACCGCTTATAATAGGGGAACATCGACGTCCGTATATTAAAGGATGACAACGGAATTGGTCGTCCAGGCCACGAATGAAGACTTTCGGCCCTTCAATCTGAGTTTTTCTCTATAAAACCTCGCTACAACAAATTTAAACTAGCGGCAGACCTTTACGTGGGCGTGTTGTCTTGATTTTTATGCAGGCAGAGACACAGGGCCTTACAAGCAGGAGGAAGGTCAAAGTATCTGTTTATGGGGACGACATCTAAAAACACGCCTCCAAGTTGAAGATTTGTGCTCGCGTAGGCGGGTCTACTATTTCCATCCAGCTTTTCCTGTGTAGTTGCAGCTTCCATCAATGCAACATATTTTGAATGCAACTACCGGCAGCGTATCCCTAGGATGCATCAGATGACGACGAATTTTGGACAGTGGTCTATGAGTCAGGGGGTTAGTAAACAGTATGAGCTAAACAGAAGTCTATCGTAAAACGCTAAAGGAGAGAAAGCATTTAGTTTTTAGGCATTAGTCACACACGGAACTTAGGCTTAACAATAATATATGTGGATCAAAAACACGCTTGGAAAAGGGAGGGCATACTGAAGAGCTTATGGTATACTTTCGATAGGCTGCGAGTTATAGCATCCGGATGATCCCAATAAGAAAACCTGCTTTTATTTTGATCAGTCAACATGCGTGCAAGTGCAATAAAAGTAGTTGATTTTGATAAGAAGCAAATGTGATCGCTGGAACAAAGCTTTATTCGCCTGACTTTTCAGATTCACGCTCGAATCCAACATCAGAGACAGTGGCAGATACGGGTGATTCGTGTACAGGAAGTTGCAGTATTTATAGGATGCAGTCGCTATGCTACCGCATACCTATGGTAATTAACCGCTCACTTCTTCATCGAGGGTGGTTGCCCGCTGGTGTCCTTGATTACTGAAATTGCGTCACCGGTGTCGGATGTTGGAATAACGATGGCTTGGCCACCTGGTTCATCGGCCTGCGCGATCCCCGAATGGCTAATCACTTTGGCCGAACTGAGTTTCGGCACCGAGTATGGGGATGGGAAGGTCATTGCACCTGATAAATGATGATTAACGGAGCCCCAATCTATTACCAAGTACATTGACCTCCCAATCCCATACTCGGTGCTAAGACTTAGCTTGACCAAAGTAAGTGGCTACTCGGGGAGAGCGCAGACCGGTAAGCCAGGTGACCGAACCATTAATACGGTGATGACATTTTAGTAATTAGTGACTGTTCCAGCGATTGGATCTTCTTCTTTCTCTTCCTCTGAACTGTTTCCTGGAGCTCGCCTGTTCGCCCGTGTCGGCAATTGACGACTTGCACGCCGGCCATCAGGAAATTAGCGCGCCGGCGGGCAACCATCCTCGGTGAAGGGGAGAGCGACTAATGATCATAGGTATGCAGTAGCATAATGACTACGTCCTATAATTACTGAAACTTCCTGCGTGCGAATTGCCTGTATCTGGTACTGCCTCTCAAGCGAGAATCTGAAACTTCAGACGAAAAAAGCTCTTGTTCCAGCGCTCACATCAACGACTTTCTTTAGCTCACATCTCCGCTTTTATCGCCAAATACTCAAACTAT